GTCTTCTTCTTCATCGTGTCTCCTTGCAGGTGCGCGGCGGCTTCCTCAACCTCAGGTCTGCTATGGCGGACTATTTCCCTCGGCTGCCACCTCGACTATGGCGCATCAGGCCCTGCATACGGCGGCGCGCATGGAATAGCGGGTACCAGCTCCGATACCAATGCAATCAGACTTGTTTTCAAACACACTTTTCATGCATGTAAACAGCAACGCAGCATACTGGCGACATGCGCCCACTCAAAACTCAGAGATATGGCTTTCAGATACGAGTTCACTCTTAATTGGCTATGGCGCCTTCAGCGCCCAAACATCTCACTGTTCACATACACTGGATCACCCTGTATATCCCACACGCATCACTCTAACACTCGAACACACACACACACTCACTACTAACTACAGCTATGGCAGCTGTCGCTGCATCTACCCTATCGCTACGCTAACTCCCCCTCTCTAGCCCACTGCGTCTTCCGGGCTCATCTGCAGGCCTCCTTGCACAAGTCGCTGTGGCAGCGCTTCCGCATGGCTCACGCAGGAATGAAAAAATGAATGGCTGGATGCTGCCTCTTGATTTATACTTCTGTAAGTCGTTGGTCTGCCCTTTTCCACCGGGCCCACAGTGCACACAGTCCCACATGGTACTTGCAGACTGGACAAAGTGAGACTGAGACTGGGTACCGCTGACTAAGCAAAGTTGGACTCACCACTTGCCCACTTGCCTCTGGTCTGCTGTGAGGAACGTGAGAAAAACTCGAAAGGTCACTTCCGGACCTTCCGGAAGTCTGTGGACTTGCCCTTTCGGGACTGTAGCAGCTACGACCTTGACCTTTCAGGACTGTAGCAGCTACGACCTTGACCTTTCAGAATTGCTACAGCTACGGCCTCTACACAACTATGACCCCTACTCGACAGACCTACAGATCGAACCCCTACGGCTACACAGACCTACAGACCTAAAACAGACAACAGTCAACTATCTGCGAATACACAGGTCGCAGGTTCAATTCTCGGGGTCTACATAGATACTGTACATGGGTAGGGTGAGGTCTAGGGATCGAACCCTGGGTACTGCATCCGCTACTGCTAAAAAGGTGAAAACCATTTCAGGTCCAAGATGTCCCTCGATACTGGTAGGGTGACGGTCCTGAGTGCTGGTCACACTGAGGTAGGATAGTAGGGATGGGGGGTATGCTGGGAGCATTAACGTGGGGAAGGGTAGGAAAGGTAGCCTATCGGTCAGCAAAACCACCGGCTGCCGCTGCCAGCGATCACKGGGGGTCTAGTCCTTGGCCTCTACAACACCCTCGGCCTTCACACACACAAAAAAAAAAGATGCGCTATGGCCAACCGGGGGGGAACCGGCCGGTAGGACCGGTCCAGTTCCGGTTGGGGGAGGGGCCCCCGGTCCTACCGGCTTTGCAGCCTTGCTTTAAACTCCTTTTTCTTTCATTTTTTGAATAAATTTCGAGCATTTATCGATTTATGTGTGTCATCCTTGAACAACGGTCATCCTAATCGTCTTCCGTTCATTTTTCTCTTTCTTTTTTTTTTCTTTTTTCTTTTTTAATGTCCCAAATGACAATCTTCCCTCTTTCAGTATCCTGGTTATCTGAAGTTTATCATGGTTTRCATGACACTTTGTGGCAGAGGACTTCACATGCATGATGGTTGGACGGCCATGGTGGTAAGAATAAGCCTTCTAATGGGTGGTAAAATTGGTAAATGCTTTTTGGGGATGTGTGCCGTGCCTCACATGCAGGCGATACACAAAGTTTTATGGAGTGAATGGCAAAGCTGCAGCGAAACTTGCACATGATGCAATATGCAGTGAGTCAACGCAGCCTGTTTACTTGATCACCGTCCCCCGTGGTTTCCAGCAAGGCCTTCCTTCCTTTCTTCCTTCCTTCCTTCCTTCCGTCCTTCCTTCCTTCCTTCCTTCCT